GAAACATCGATGAGAGAGAGTCATCGTTCAGCTGCCTCTTGCACACTCCCTACTGGGGATATGCCCGCAACCAAGGTACATGCCCTTGACCGGAATCGAACCCAGGTCCCTTCAGTCCCCAAGCCGATGCTCTATTCATTGAGCCAAACCGGTTTCGGCCACCTTGCGTGTTTCTTATCAGCTGTGGGATCCAGGGATCTGCTTATTCGCTGAGTCTCAGCTTCCCCTCTTTATTTTTTTTTTAATAAATATATTTTTATTGATTTTTAACAGAGGGAGAGAGAGAGAGAGTTAGAAACGTCGATGAGAGAGAAACATCGGCCAGCTGCCTCTTGCACACCCCCCACTGGGGATGTGCCCGCAACCAATGTAAATGCCCTTGACAGGAATCGAACCTGGGATCCTTCAGTCCGCAGACCAATGCTCTACCACTGAGCCAAACCGGCTTCGGCAGCTTCCCCTCTTTAAATGGGATAAAATAATACCTAATCACAACTGCTTCAAGCGTGAGCCCTGGCGAGTCAGGCGGCCAGGGTTAGAATGCCAGCTTGGCCTTCCCCTCCACGTGACCTTGGGAGTAACTTTGTGTCCCTGGGGCTCAGTTTCCCCATCTGTAAGATGGGGCGTGCCCACCATGGAACTTCTGGAGACATTTAACTCGGCTCCCGGGGGAGAGTGAAGGGCAGTCCTGCCCAGGTTGGGACAGGCAGCGGAAGGAATGGGTTGGGAGTTTTAATCAAAGGGGGCTCCTCCCTCTCGCAGCCCGAGGCCTCGGTCTGGCATGGGCGCATGCGCAGAACAGCCCCGCGGCCCCTTTATAAGCGCGGAGACTGTGCTGGGGGGAGCGGAGCGCGGGGCGCAGGGGCTGGACCTGGCGCGCCCGAGCCGAGCTGAGCGTCCTTTGTGCCGGGCGGGCGACCGCCCCGGGATGCATCCGAGCTAGGAGCCAGGTGGGGGTCCGCCGCAGGGGATGGGCTAGGTTGGGGGAGAGATCCTCGGGATTGGGGAGGGAGCCTGGGATCAGCGAGACGCCCCCAGAATGGGGAGGGGGCGATGGGGAATGGAGGAAGGGAGCCCTGGGTTGGGGAGGAAATGCAAACTGGGAGGGGGCTTGGGAATATCAGAGGAACTCGGATTTGGGGTAGGGTTGTCTAGGGAATACGGGACTGATTCCTTGGTGGGGAAGGGGCCTGGGTGGGGATGGGTCTCAGAATTGGGGGGGGGGGGGCGCGTTAGGAACCAAGACAAGGGGCGGGACACCGAGTTTAGAGAGAAGAGGGGGGCACTGAGATGCTGGGTGGGGACTCAGAGACAGGGCATCCCAGTGTCGGAGCTGAGACACCCCGGGATTTTAAGTGGGGATTCCCAATTTGCCGAAGAATGAAGGATGCCAGGCTGGACGGCAGCGACAAGGGGCCCCCATCAGTCTGAGCCTGATGGAAGGGGTCTGCACTGAGACCAAGGGGAAGGGGTGCCCTGCAGTCTTCTGTCCTTTTGGCCCATGCCCTACCGACACGCCCTGACTCGGGGAGAAGGCTCTGGGGGCCCCATCCCAAGGTGGTCCCTGTTGTTCCCTCAGACCTGGAGTTGGGGTGCTGTCCCTCCTCCCAAGGAGCACATTGGGTTTCCCAGGTGAAGACTGGATCAGAGCCCCCCTGAAAGTACAAGTTATGGATCTCCAGGACCTGTGCGGGGCACCAGTTCAATGAGGGGGCTGCCACAGGCACCTCCATATCTGACGGTGTCCCCACAGCGAGACAGACCCTTGCCTCACCCTTCAGTTCCATCTGTCCATATGGTTGCAGGTGGAAGTCCTTGTTTAGTTTGGAGGCGTCAGTGCTAGGAAGTAGGGGGCTGGGACCCCAAACCCAGCCTGGGCGGCAGCGACCCCCATCCCTGTGCACAGGGCTTTGTTCCTTTCAATGGCATTAATGGGAGGCAGCCAGGCTGAGGAGAGGGTTGGCGCTGGGCCCCAGCGGGGGACTTGGTGGGGGGGAGGGCAGGGAAGAAGGGTGGGCAGACCATGGGACCCCAGAACCCAGCACCTCTCTTACTTCTGGGCATTCCCAAATGTAAGATGACCCCCTTGGAGGCGGGGGCTTTGTGTGTGTCTACCCCAAGCTAGGAGAGTGTAGGTACCCATGGAGGGGGGGGGGGGTCTGGGATCCTCTGTGAGTCGAATGTGACAGATTGTCTTTGTCAGGAAACTTGTGCCAGGGGCCACACCACCAGGTGGCAAAATGATGTGTGCCCATCAGCCACCAAAGCCACAGCCATCCAACCTGGGCTGTGTCAGGGGGTGGCATTGCTGTGTGCGTGCGTGTGTGTGTGTGTGTGTGTGTGTGCGTGTATGTGAGTGTGTGTAGCTGTGTCTAACGATGTGGCCTCGTCAAAGGGTTTATGTGGGGAGCCTGAGAATGTGGGTGTGTGTCTTTGTGCAGAAGACGTGCTGCCTGCCTTGTCAGTGCCCATATTGTCTCTCTTTGTTAATGTCATCGTGAATCTTTGTGTGTCTCTCTCTCCTCTCTCTCTCTCTCTCTCTCTCTTCTGGGCTCTGAGTCTGGAGTGTATGGCTGTGTTTGTGTCCCGTGTGTACAGCAACCTTCCTCTCCATGTGGCTGACAGTGTAGGGGTTCAAGATGTGGTCTGTGTGCAGAATTGGAAAGGGGAGACACTGGCAGGGAGTTCGGTCTGGAAGGGGCAACCTAGAATGATTTATTGAGCTGGTTTCTTTTCTCCTCTGAGGCGTTCCATGATCACACGTATGTACTCATATACTCCCTGACTCCCTGCAAGGGGCACTTGGACCCACATGTCCAGAGACCACAGGGTGTCCTCTATGCTCCACCCAATGCACAGAGCTGCTAGGGACCTGTGCACAAGTCCACATACTACAGGGCACAACTTCATGGATATCCTCACCTGGACACAGCACCCTGAGGCACACCCAGGCACAAACTCACACAAATGCCCACTGGCAAACCCACCCTCACTCAATGTCTACTGAGACAGAAGGTGGTTGTGAGATGGACACACACACACACACACACACACCCCTCTTTCTCCTGCCACCCCCTTTGCACACTCCTTCTTGCATATGCATGAGGTTCATGTATTATTGATGAGGCGACAAGCCCCAGACAGTTCTGTAAATGCTCACCTCTGAAGGCCCTGGGAGAGCTATTTTAAGAGAAAGGATGTGGGTGTGTGAGGGTGCAAGTAGAGGGAACTGAGTGTGTGTGGGAGGGCATGTGTGTTGGAGGGATGCACCTGAAACTGTGTCTGTCACTATGTTGGACCACCTCTGTATATTTGAGTATGTACACGAGACAATGTGCACAAAAAAACCTATTTTTTAAATCAACATTTCTAGGACTTCACATGTTTTAGCTCATTCTATCCTCACAGTAACTACCTGAGGTACATGCTGTGTAATTTCCATTTTACAAGTGGGGGAACTGAGGCATAGAGTGATAAAGCAGTCTGTGTAGAGTCATGTAACATGTAGAGAACAAAGGCAGGGCTTGAAGCCCTGTCATCTGAATATAGTATGAGCTCTTCACCATTGTGTTGTGTGTGTGTGTGTGTGTGTGTGTGTGTGTTTGTGTGTTTGTGAGAGAGAAAGGGAGAGAGAGGATTCTCAGAACTAGCCCCCTCCTAAGACCCTCCTGAGGCAGGTGCATCCCAGAGTCCTGCCCCACTCTCTAATACCCAGCCACACTGTCCCAATGCCTGGCCTCTCCCTTGCTGTGCAGCCCTAAGCAAACCGCTAGCCCTCTCTGAGCCCTATGGCAAGAAGACAAAGTGGGCACTGGTGAGTTCAGCACCACGGACAGGTCCCTGTCTAGCTTCCCATCAGAGGCCTCTGGTAGCCGGCAAGGGCCTTTGGGAGGGGACCAGCTCTCCCCCACGCCTCTCATTCTGGACTCATCCACTCTTCCCTTTCAGGATTCTTATTATATTGGAGAGAGGTGCAAGGCTGGGTTTATAGGTGATGCTCTAACTCCCCATCTGCCCCCACCTCCTGAGCCCTGGCGAGTCTGTCCAGAGGGGTTTCCAGTCTCTGGATGACTGTGAGGTCAGGGAGGCCACTGCCGTGTCCCAGTGCTTGGAATTGGCCTTGCCTGCAGTTCACACTCAATAATTGTCCACTTTAAGCCCACGGGCCACCGCCCTGCAGAAGGCTGGACCCATGGTGGAGTCCTTGCGGACCTAGGAGGCATCTTTGCCAGCAGTGTGAAATGAGGGGGAGGGGCAGGGGGCAGGGCAAGGCCCATCCTCCAGCTGGGACTTGGCAGGACCTCAAAAATCCCAGAAATCAAGAATAGAATCTTGGCGACAATCAAATCCTGGAACTGAAGCTGAGAAGCATGTCATCCAGAAAACCCAGATTAAAGGCCGGCTTGGAGGCCAGCCTGTTGCCAGGACCGGGGACCCCAGGCAGACTGGGACTGGCCGCTGCCCTTTAGGAGCTCCCCCCACCCCAAGTCTGAATGAGGAGGCCAACTTGAAAAAATGGGGTTTTGATCTTGCCTCTGTTAAGGTTAATAATAATAATAAAAATAATAGCTGAAATTTACTCTTTCATGCCAGGCAGTTCTAAGCATTTTAAGTGTATTGACTCATCTATTCCTTTCAAGTACCTGGTGTTATCGCCAGCTGACCTACGAAGAAACTGAGACACAGAGAAGCTAGACTATTTGCCCAAGGTCACACAGCAAGGAACAGACACAGAGACAACTCCAGGTTCTGGTCCACTCCAGCATCCATACTTCTGACCATGAGACATCACTGCTGGGATTCTGAAGTCAGCTGGTTCTGGGTTTGGATTCTGGCTCTGCCCTTGCTTGCTGCCTGTGCAACTTTGAATGACACAGTGGCCTGTCTGAGTCCCAGTTTCCAGATCTGCAGAGGGGAAATTTGTTTTCCCGTGCCACGCCTCTGGGGGTTGGGGGGCTGTGTTCACCCTCTCTCCCTCTCTTTCTTAATCCAGGTCCAGGATGGGAGCCATGCCTAGGTGGGCCTCGGGCCTCCTGGTCCTCCAGGTGCTGCTCTTGGTGAACGGGGAGCAGGGTGAGTTGGCCTGTGTGGTGGGAGAGGGTTGGGTCTGGACACGATGGGGCAGTGCTTTTTAACTCAGGAGTCTTTTCCTGCTGGTTCCCTGGCTGGGTGTGGAGAATAAAACGAGAATAGATGAAAAAGGTCTTTGAACAGTCAAAAGCCAACAAGACACCTGAGAGGTTATTTTTAGTCATTGCCAGCAAAAGCTGGAGGTTCCTGCCTCTCACCATTTTGCTATGATGAGTTAGAGAGAAAGAGGAGGGGGGAAGGAAGGGGAGGAAGGAGGGAGAAAGGAAACGAGAGTAGAGAAGGGAGAGGGAATGGGGGAAGAAGGAAGAAAGAGGAAGGAATGAGAATAGTGTGTGCATTGATTAGTGATGTCTGTCATGGACAGGGCAATAGAAATAAATAAAGGTCTATGTTCATCTCTCTGGCATCTCCCCAGTGGTGGTCAAAACCACAGGCTTTAGAAATGCTTCCTGGGTTGCTCTATGGCCATAGGACAGTACAATAATGTCTCTGAGCCTCAGTTTCCCCCCCAAAAAAGAGGATGATGACATATGGCTACCTCGGCAGATAGTTAGGAAAATCAGATGGACTGCTTGCTATCTATCAAGTGCCTGTTCCATGGAGGGTACTCTGCAAGGGTACCCATTTCTCTCCCAGTGGCTCCCTCTCCCTTAACTTCTGGGGAAACTGAGTCTCAGAGAAGCACAGTGACTTTCCCAGGGACACACAGAGAGTAAGTGACACAGTCACTGGCCGCAGGGACCTGGACTCTGAGTGGAGTCCCAATTACAAAGGGATTTGACCCCACTCCTCCTCTGCTGCTCACAGATTGGGGTGCAGATCCCTCTGGCCTTTGTCTCCCTGCCTATAAAGTAAGGGAGATAGTCTCCGCTGGGCCTTGCCTCTGAGTTAGGTCTCTCTCCACTTCCCCCTGCCCGCTCCAGGCACACAGGACACCACTGCCGTGGCCAGCGCTGCTGCTGAGAAGGGGCTCCACATGCAGAAGGTGGGGTCTGGCTCCGTGCGAGCCGCCCTGGCGGAGCTGGTGGCCCTGCCCTGTTCCTTCACCCTGCGGCCACGGCCAGGGGCGGAGGGAGAAGCCCCTCGGATCAAGTGGACCAAGGTGCGCACGGCATCGGGCCAGTGGCAGGACTTGCCCATCCTGGTGGCCAAGAACAACGTGGTTCGAGTGGCCAAGGGTTGGCAGGGACGTGTGTCTCTGCCCGCCTACCCCCAGCACCGGGCCAACGGCACGCTGCTCCTGGGGCCCCTGAGGGCCAGCGACTCTGGGCTCTACCGCTGCCAGGTGGTGAGAGGCATCGAGGATGAACAAGACCTGGTGTCCCTGGAGGTGACCGGTCAGTTGAGGGCAGGGGGAGGGTTAAAGGGGGGAAGGGAGGAGCTGAGCCTGAATATCAGCTAAGAAATAGTAATTGGGCACCTACCGCATGCCAGCCTGGTGCTAGGATCACTGTCATGACTGAGATGCAGCTGCCACCTTCTAGGGGCTCCCAGTTTAATAAGATGGAGCAAAATGTTTCATTCCTATACCTTGCTCAACCACTTCTTTCATCCCTAAATCAAAATTTGAGTCACAGAAAGTCCATTCAATAATGGGCTTCCTGACTTAAAATTACCTCCTTCAGGAAGCCCTCCATGCCTCCATTTCTAGGCTGGGCAATAACCACATTAGATCTTCCATTGCTGCCAGTGATTCCCCTATCAATGCATGCACTTAATTTCTCAATGGCAGGATCTCTCTCACTCTCCTTCATACCGCCTGGGCCTAACCACGGGCATGAAGAATGCTATCATTGGAGTCAGAGCTGCCAGGACATGAATTCTGGCTCCGCCTCAAACTGGCTGTGTGACCCTGGCCATGTCACCGACCCTCTCTGAGCCTCAATTTCAATGAGATAATGCTTAGAAATGCTTTTTACATAGCAAATAGTTGACAAATTCTAGTCCTTTATGGGCATTGTTAACAGTTTCCCCATCTGTGAAATGGGGCATATCAGTCTCTGCCCCTGTCATGTCTGGTGCTGAGTGAAGGGGAATGGAGGGCAGCAGTTCTATTATTGTCAGACTAAGGAGGGGTGGGAGGCATTCTGCAGAAGGAGGTCTGTTCGTAAAGATTTCAGAATAAAGTGGCCTCCTATTCTGGATGTCCCTTCCCAGGTGTCGTGTTCCACTACCGGGCAGCCCAGGATCGCTATGCACTGACCTTTGTCCAGGCCCAAGAGGCCTGTCGCCTCAGCTCGGCCACCATTGCAGCCCCGCGGCACCTGCAGGCCGCCTTCGAGGACGGCTTTGACAACTGCGATGCGGGGTGGCTCTCTGACCGCACCGTTCGGTGAGGGGGTGCGCAGGGCGGGGAAATGGAGAGCTAGCCCCCGGGGAAAGATGGTTTGTGGGGGCCCCAGGAGCACACATCCTTGTCTTGTCAGGTATCCCATCACCCAGTCCCGCCCTGGTTGCTATGGTGACCGTAGCAGCCTTCCAGGGGTGAGGAGCTATGGGAGGCGCGACCCACAGGAACTCTATGATGTGTATTGCTTTGCCCGTGAGCTGGGGGGTAAGTCTGGGGCTGACAGGACCCTTCCCTCCCCTGAGCCCGTTACCTTCCCCAACCCGCATCCCTCCTAATCCTCATCCTTCTCTAAACCTGCAGCCAAGACGTGGGCCCACCCCTTCCCTGAGCTTTCCTCCCCTCCCTGAGCCCCTCTCCTTCTCGGTGCCCCTTCCCTCTATCTGCACCCCTTCCCTCCCTGAGGCCCCAAGCCTCTCCCCCTCACTGCGCCCCTCTGCCCCCTCCTCCTTCCTACCTACTACCCCACACCGAGCCCCTCCCTCTCTCTGAAGCCCGAAATGCCACGTTTGTAAAAAGCAGTGAAAGCGGCCTCTTACTCGGAGTGAGCCCACTTCCCGGGTGGGCTCCAGGCAGGGTCCCCTCGGCCTCCTGCCCTCTGCTCACCCCCCCTCCCCCCCGCGCCTCCCCGCAGGAGAGGTCTTCTACGTGGGCCCGGCCCGCCGGCTGACCCTGGCGGGCGCGCGCGCCCAGTGCCGGCGCCAGGGCGCGGCGCTGGCCTCGGTGGGCCAGCTGCACCTGGCCTGGCACGAGGGCCTGGACCAGTGCGACCCGGGCTGGCTGGCCGACGGCAGCGTGCGCTACCCGATCCAGACGCCGCGCCGGCGCTGCGGGGGCGCCGCCCCGGGCGTGCGCACCGTCTACCGCTTCGCCAACCGCACCGGCTTCCCGGCGCCCGGGGCGCGCTTCGATGCCTACTGCTTCCGCGGTGCGTGGGGGGCCACCCCTGGGGTGGGGGGGTGTCCCCAGAGGTCCAGCCCCCGGGGGTGCGTCAGGATGGCCTTGTCCGAGGGCTCTCACCCCAGTAGAGGCCTCGCCCCCGGGAGCGTGGCTGTCCGGTGGAGGGGAATCTGGGCGGGGAGGGGCGCGAAGCACCTGCGCTGCGACCGACCGGCCACACCGCGGCTGAAGGCCGTGCCCCTGGGACGGGCTTCCGCCTGGAGTCCCACCTGGGGGTTAGAAGGAGCCCCGAGCTCTGGCTGGAGGTCTTGTTAGGAGGTGGGCTGTAAGTCCTGCGGTCCCTGAGAGACACGGCCCTGTACGGAGCGTTTCCTACCTGGAACCCTTTGAGAAAGAGACAGCTCCACTAGCCACGCCCCGTGGGCCAGGCCACACTCCCAGGGACCAGACCGGGGATGACCTTGCACTTGGGGTGGAGCCACAGCCTCAAGCTGCAAACTTCGATTCAGAAGAGTTAAGTCTCAAAAAAAAAAAAAAAAGAAAAGAAAAAAGAAAGAAAGAAAGAAAGAAAGAAAGAAAGAATAAGAGACGAAAGAAAGAAAGAAAGAAAGAAAGAATAAGAGACGAAAGAAAGAAAGAAAGAAAGAAAGAAAGAAAGAAAGAAAGAAAGAAAGAAGAGAGAGAGAGAGAGAGAGAGAGAGAGAGAGAGAGAGAGAGAGAGAGAGAGAGAGAAGAGTTAAGTCTTCCAGTAAGGGGGTGGCATCCCTTTGTAAAAAGGCCACGCCCATTAGGCGCTTTCTGCTCCCTCCTTGGGGGAGGAGTCAAGGGGAGAGGTGAGCCAAGCTATCTCTAGACCCTTTCCTGGGACCAGTTGACTCTGACCTTGACAGCGGGTCAAGCCTGAACAGTGGGGATAATAACTGCACCACCCTCTCTCCTTCTGGGGGATTCCAGAAACCACCCAGAGAGACCCAGGTCTATATGGCAGCGTGTTAGAATGTGGGTAGACTTCAGGAAGAACGTCCCAGCTCCTGTGCCTGATACAACCTCTTCTACTTTCTACCACAGCTCATTACCCTACTCCCCAACACGGAGACCCAGAGGCCCCCTCCTCTGGGGATGAGGGGGAGATTCCATCGGCAGAAGGGCCTCCAGCCAGAGAACTGGAGCCCAACTTGGGAGAAGGGGAAGTGGTCACCCCTGACTTCCAGGAGCCTCTGCTGTCCAGTGGGGAGGAAGAGCCTCTAATCCTGGCAGACAAGCAGGAGGCTCAAGAGACCCCCAGCCCTGCCCTCGGGGTTCCCACACTAGCCTCAAGGCCTTCCCCGGAGACTAAGGAGGTGTGGCTAAGCACCGTGGCCCCATTCTCGGGCAGCCTGGAGGAAGGCACGTCAGCTGGCACGCACAGCAAGGCGACCCCAGCCAACCTCAAGCCCAAGAGGCAGGGTCGCTTTAAAGGCTTGAATGGGCGCCACTTCCAACAACAGGAATTCCAGCAAGGGCTGGAGGGAAGGCTTGAGGTCAGTGCCCAGCCTCCCACCCCAGAGGCTGCTGGGAACCACGTGGAGCCTCCCCTGGCCACCGGAGCCGCAGACTCCTTAGGAAGTGGCAGGAGCCAAAGCCCCTGGGCTGTGCTGTCCAACGAAGTGGATGTTCCTGGAGCTGGTGAGTGGGGTCCAAGGAGGAGGGGGCACATGAGTGGGTGTCAGGGGGCGGAGGCTCTGAATCCCTGCTGGGTCCCCTGGCCTTAGAAGCCCTCTCCTCCCCAGGCTAAACCAAGGAAACACTCAATGGAAGGAGCTGCTGAAAGATAATTATTATTATTGATATTGTTGCAGGTTCCCCTGGTGGCAGGAGCCCCCCAGAGCCCTGGCTGTGGCCCCCAACAGTGGTACCACCCAGCGTCCCAGGCCCCAGCAGGGCCCTTGGCCTCGAGCTGGAGGAAGCCAAGGGCCCCAGTGTGAGGCTTGATACCCTCAAACCTCCCTGGTCCTCCTCAGAGGCCACTGCTCCGGCTCCCAGCCCCTCAGAAGATCCCAGGAGTGTCCCCTGGGAAGCATTGCCCATGGTCACCTCCCAAGACCTCCCTGTCGTGGCAATGCTTCGTGCTCCCAAAGTGTGGCTCCTGCCACATCCTACACCCCTCCCTACCCAGATCAGTGGGGTTAAGGGTCATAGTGAGGCCATGCCCTCTGCCCTCCCCTCCCTGGCCTCGGAGACCCAGGCGGGCCCCCAGGACCCCATCCATCCAGAGATGTATTCCTTGCCCCCCTCCTTGGGCCTGACAGGACAAGGTCGAGAGGTCGTGTTCCCCACATCCAGTGACCACAGAGCAGGAAGCCCCACCACCCTCTCGCAGGTAGCCACGGACACACAAACCAGAACCAGTCCTCATGTCCCCAGGGAAGACTTTGGAGAGATTGGGGGGACCAGCCCCACTGGACTCAACAAAGCTGAGCACCCCAGCTCCAGCCCACAGGCTTCTGTGGATTGGAATGTGGCAGCAGATTTCACCCTCACAGAGATGGCAACTGAGCCCACAGGAGGAAGAGGAATCTCAGGGGCTGAGTATGGGGCCTTCAACACAGCAGAGAGTCCCACTCCCAGCTCAAAGGCCGCTGAGGAAGAGGCACAGGGCACGTGGCCCTCACTGCACATCAAAGAGCTGGACCCCCCCACCTCCTCTGCACCGGAGGGGGACCCCAGAGTTTCCCTGAGTTTGGAGCCTTGGGCGGCTACCGATGGAGGAGGTACAGAGGGTCCCACACATACAGCCACAGTGGACCCCAGTGATGCTGGTAGGATTTGGGAATCTGGATCCCTCATGGCTGAAGGAGCTGAACGCCCCACCACGAGCCCTCAAGTGGCTGTGGACACAAAGGTGGTGACGTCCCTCGTGTCCCTGGACCAGGGGGACGAGGGTGGGGTCCCGGCCACATCCACAATTGACTCCTCCAGCTCCCAACCCCACCCAGAGCCAGAGGGCCAGATGGCGACCCAGGGAACACTGGAAGCCTTGGTCCCTCCACATGAGGACATCCCCCTGGGGGATCCCACTCTTCCTCCCTGGACACCTACGGTGGCCAGTACGGACAAGCCTGTGTCAGTGTCCTCAGGGGAGCCAACAGAGCTATGGGACTCTCCCAGCACTCTGCTGCCTGCCCCTCGGGCCCTGGACAAGTTTGAGCTGGAGGTCCTTGCAGGAAGTGCCAATGTGGAGGAGGCATCAAGTGGAGAGGAGCCGGCCCTGCCAGGGACCCCTGCAGATGGGAGCGCAGAGCAGAGTGAGTTCAAGTTTTGTAGCCTAGTTCAGCCCACTGTGGTCGGGGCTTGGGGACCAGGGGCCAGGGGAGCTCAGGGTAGGGAGAAAGCTCACCTGGGGGCCTGGGAAGGTTTCTAGCAGGAATAACATTGTAGGTGGGAACATATCAGGTGAGCTGAATTGCAGAAAGGATGTGTCTGGCAGAGGGCAAGAGAAGGAGAACAAGCTGATGTGTTTTAAGGCACAGTGAGTGATGGGGGAAGGATGAGGTGTTGAGTGGAGTTAGATTTTGGTTCAATTAACACTCATGTTCATGGCCACACACTGCGGGGAGCAGGCCTTCAGACTAGGAAAGACAGAGCTAGACACAGACGCCCCGCCCCCAGGTGGGGCCGGATGGAGGAGGCATCGTGGGATTCAGTGGTGCATTTTCTGGGGGACCTTTATGTCTAAATTAATTAAACGCAAGTGAAAGTACAAATGTAGTTCCTCCCAAACGGAAGGGGTTGGGGTATTGTACAGCCTAGTGGTATAGACTGCAAACGGAAACTCAGGGAGGAACCTCACTACCAGCTAGTCAGTGGCCAGACTTCAGAGGGAGCCCAAGTCTGCGTCGCCTCAGCTGCTCTTGGCTCAGCAGAATCCAGAAAAAACTGCCACCCTGTTTTCCTGGAACCAGGTCTGCCCGAAGCTCTCTTGCAAATTCTGGCCCTTTTTTTTAAAAAGAAATATTATTATTATTTTTTTAATTGAGGAATGGAGAGGGAGAGAGAAATAGTAACATCATTGATGAGAAAGAATCATTGATCAGCTGCCTCCTGCGTGCCCCCCACTTGGGATAGAGCTCACAACTTGGGCATATGACCTGACCGGGAATTGAACCGTGACCTCCTGGGTTAGATCCACACTCAACCATTGAGTCATGCTGGCCTGGCTGGGCCTTATTTTAGGACCTGCATATTGAGCGGTTTTTTATTTTATTTTATTTATTTTTTGCCAAATGGGCTTTTAAAAACACCAGCATCTAATTAAAAGGCACTCTTTTTTTTTTTTGAGTTGCAAAAACACTTATTAACACGATTGGCTTTACACTTGCTTTCTTTTTTTGAAAGCAAAGTGTGCATGCTGGGAATAGCAGGTTCAGGGTTTCATCACCAACCCAGTCACCTCCGGACTGCGTTCCAGGCTAGATTTCCTTTTCTTAGGTGCTCAGGAGGCTGGCAGACATGGAGACATGAATTGATAAAGGCTGATGCTTATTGGTGACGGCCCATGTACTTGGCCTGTTTGAATACTTCACTGGGATCATCTTGATTGATCCTTTCAATGCCCCATGGAACAACTTCTAGTGTGATCTTCGCTTTAGCGTGGGGAAACTGAGGCACGGGGAGGGCGAGTGACTTGTGCAGAATCATGCAGCCGGGACTGTTAAGGACAAGTTTTGAATCAGGCCAACGAACAGCATGGTCTCTGTCTCAACCACTAGGCTGTACAACATGTATTTCATTGGCGTTTTAAAAAACACACACCAAAAAAAGCCCTGAGGTTTTGGGAGGGGCGAGCGTGCTCTGGAGGGAGCAGAGCAGAGACTAGCTGTCGGGGATGGGCAGCAGGAAGGAGGTTCCATGTCAAAGGAGCTAGAAAAGGGGAGTCCGAGAGGTGGGAGGTAGACCGTGCAGAATGGTGCAAAGGGAAGCCTGGTGGGGTCTGCCTTGGAGCCGGTGGCAGTAGGGTTGGAGAGAGGCAGGCAGCCCTGGGGTGAGGGTAAGGGGTGTGGGGGAGGGGATCTGGGTGCCTCTCCACCCTGTGTTCGCTGCAGAAATGCTAATGAAGCCAAAAATAAATGCAGCACCAGTGAGCGACTGAGTCACCGCCAGTCCGTGGGCAGCTGTCGGCAGCGTGGGTCACCTGGCAGGGCTCGCGTATTCCCGTGCCTAGCCGTCCTCCGCATGTGCATACACGGGGCAGACATGGCCACAGGCCCGTCTGGCAATCCCTGGGGGACATGCCACCACCCCAGGGATCGGCCTCTGTCCCTACAGGAAGGCCAGCAGCTACCTTCCTTCCTTTAGCAAGCAATTATTTAGTGCCGGCTGTGTTCCAGGCCCCAGGCTGACACCAAGTCACGTGTCCTCTGGAAGCTGACATTCTAGAGCAGCACTCTAGAACTTTCCAAAGGATGGAAATGTTCTGGAGCTATGCTGTCCAATCCACTAGCAACAAGCCACACCTGGCTACTAAGCCCTTGAACATGGCTAGTGAGACTGAGGAACTACACTTGTACTTTCATTTGCTTTGAATTAATTTAGACTTTAAAAAGCTATATTTGGCTGCTATGTGAGACATATGGCTCTGGGGGAGGCACAAACACATAACAGGGATCCTAATAAATAACTAAATGATATTGGAGGTTAGAAAGTGATTGGGCAGCCCGCTGGTGTGGCTCAGTGGATAGAGAGTCAGCCTGTGGACGGAAGGGTCCTGGTATTCTGGTCAGGGGCACATGCCTGGGTTGTGGGCTCGATTCCCAGTGGGGGGTGTGCAGGAGGCAGCCGATTAATGATTCTCTCTCATCATTGATGTTCCTCTCTCTCCCTCTCCATTCCTCTCTGAAATCACTTTAGTCCGTAGGCCAATGCTCTATCCACTGAGCCAAACTATCTAGGGCTAGAAGATTACTTTTTTTTTTTTTAAATATATTTTATTGATTTTTTACAGAGAGGAAGGGAGAGGGATGGAAATCCAGAAACACCAATGAGAGAGAAATACCAATCAGCTGCCTCCTGCACACCCTCCACTGGGAATGTGCCCACAACCAAGGTACATGCCCTTGACCAGAATCAAACCTGGGACCTTTCAGTCCGCAGGCTGACGCTCTATCCACTGAGCCAAACTGTCGAGGGCTAGAAGATGATTTTTTAAGAGACGCTTTGGGAAGCCCATTCCAGTTAGAAAGAATCTTTCACCGCAGGGCAGCCCACAGATGCTTTGGGAGCAATTTCTGGAAGGAGTACACAGGTCCCAGGGGCACATGAGAGGAAGGTGGGGATTACCTTCTGGGAAGTTATAGAGGAACTCCACAGAGAGGGACTTAGCCAGAGGGCCTCGGGTGCCTGAGGTCTGGATTCCAGGAAGGCAGGCCTGGTGTTCTGATTGCTCCCTGAACCGCCTATCTATCCTGCAGCCCCGCTGGATCCCTGCGAGAACAACCCTTGCCTGCACGGGGGCACCTGCAAAGCCAATGGCACCCTCTACGGCTGTAGCTGTGACCAGGGCTTCGCTGGAGAGAACTGTGAGATCGGTGAGTGCCCGGACTTGGAGTCAGAACCTGGACTTGTCTGACTCCAGAGCCTTGGGGTTTGTTTAGCACAGCAATCAACCCCATGAGAACTCAGGGTTCACAAGATGCTGGCTTCACATGCTTCCTTTCCTCCCCTCTCCTTCACTCCAGGAAATCTGCCCCAGCATCAGCCATCTGAGCTCTCTCTCATCCTGGGGGGTGAGGCTCTGGCGTGCTGCCTCCCATTACTACCAGGCAGGGGTAAAGGAGGGTAGAAGGATGATAAGGTTCAGGTTTCTTCCTTCCACAGGCTCCAGGAATCCTACCCTTTCCTGGGTGGGCAGGGGTGCAGGTACCACCAACAGAATGGTTGGATACTAGCCCCAAACCCCAATATAAGAAATATGACATATATATATATATATATATATATATATATATATATATGACAAATTGTGAAATTTGAACAGTATGTATAAATAAGACAATTTCTTGAGCTCTGTTCAACATCTTACCAATTTCATAACCTTCACAACTATATTAATAGAAATCCTATATCATAAAAGGCTAATATGCAAATTGTCCCCTTAGGAGTTTGACTGACTGAAAGTTTGATCGTTATGTAGTGCGCTGACCACCAGGGGGCGGTGTGGAACAAGGGAAGGCCATGGCTGGCAGCCAGCAGCTGGGAGAAGGAAGGCCCTGATCGGCCCTAATCACTGGTTGGGTCTAGAGACCCGACAAATTTTGTGCACCAGGCCTCTAGTATACAATTTTGTGCACCAGGCCTCTAGTATAACAATAAATATAAATGATGTTAAATTATCTTATTTTAAATACATTTTTATTGCTTTCAGAGAGGAAGGGGGAGGGAATAAGAGATAGAAACATCAATGATGAGACAGTCATTAATCTGCTGCCTCCTGCATGCACCCCCATTGGGGATCGGCCCGCAACCTGCACATGTACCCTGACCAGGAATAGAACCGTGACCTCCTGGTTCATAGATCGATGTCCACCACTGAGCCATGCTGGCCGGGCAATGATATAAACTCTTGAGCTCTTCCATTGACTCTCTACTCATACACACCCTTGAGGAGGTGCCATTATTATTAACGCTACAAAAAACAAAACAAAACTGGGTATCAGAGAGTGGAAGAAGTATGGTACATTCTTCATGCACTGTCTACACAGGGGTGGTAGAAGAGGAAGTTCAACTGAATAGCTATCTCTACAAACAGTTTTCTGACTCCCTGTTCCTGACAAATGCTCTGGACCCAGTTTCCCTAGTCCCACATTCCAAAAAGACCCGCAAGCTTCGACATTCTCTGGGTCTGTTGGCAAGAGTATAACCTGCATTGTTCTGGCGCTCCGCACACCCTGGCCCCCAGCCAACTCAGCGACATCTGCTCTCATTAATGCTAAGTTATGTCCATCATGCGAGGCTCCACCCTCTTGACCCCCAGAGGCGCGGAGCCATTGGTGCAGACCACTGCTGCTGCACTTAGGTCCAGGACGGTTGGCAGGGTCCTGACCCCATCTTCAGCCTGGTTTCCTGTGGGGCCTGGGAGCCGAGAGTTGCCTGTGGGGAGGCGGGCCTCTGACTCAGCCCCTCCTTCCCCCTCCAGACATCGACGACTGCACCTCCAGTCCCTGTGAGAATGGAGGCACCTGCATCGACGAGGTCAACACCTTCACCTGCCTTTGCCTCCCGAGCTACGGGGGCAGCCTCTGTGAGAAAGGTGAGTTTCTGCTGAGACCCCAGAAACAGGAGGGGGTGTGGGTGCCGGGCCTCAGGTCTCCCTCTCTGGTCCCATGTCTGTGAGTACAATAGGCAGACTGCTGGAGGCAAACTGTTTTGTTTTTAGATAAAATTTGCATAACATAGGATTAACCTTTTTAGAGTGCACACCTAAAAGGAATTCAGTACATTTGCAATGTTTTACAGCCACCACCTCTAGCAAGTTCCAAGGGAATTCCCTCACTTTATTTTATTTTTTTTAATATATGTTATTGATTTTTTACAGAGAGGAAAGGAGAGAGATAGAGAGTTAGAAACATCGATTAGCTGCCTCCTGCACACCGCCTACTGGGGATGTGCCCGCAACCAAGGTACATGCCCTTGACAGGAATCTAACCTAGGACCTCTCAGTTGGCAGGCCGATGCTCTATCCACTGAGCCAAACCGGTTTCAGCGATTTCCCTCACTTTAAGAGTCTCATGCTCTACCGACTGAGCTAGCTGGGCACATGCTTTTTTTTTTTTTTTTTTTTTTTTTTTTTTTTTTTTTTTTATTAGAAACTGTTTATTTTCCATCAACCTTATTTCCGTTCGTTAGAATTTGTGGAAGAACAGCTTAGGACCACTCAGTGGTTGTTGCTACCCACTCGGTAGCCTGAGCAGTAGGGGCTGCAGACCAGTCTTCAGTGGCAGGCTGAGCACTCCAGTCTTCAGTAGGAAACTGCTGAATGGGCACGGAGGGCACCTGCACGCCTTCAGACCAGTCTGCAACCTCAGGCTGCGCAGCAGTGAACTCAGGAGCAGGCGCAGTCCATTCACCCTGAAACTCCTCCTTGGTCACAGCCTTTTCAGCATCGGCCTGCTCTTCCTTTTCAATCTCCTCAGGATCTCTGTAGAAGTACAGATCAGGCATGACTTCCCACGGGTGTTCACGGGAGATGGTGCCACGCATGCGTAGTACTTCCAGGGCCAGCATCCACCACATCAGACCCACTGAGTGAGCCCCCTTGTTGTTGCAAGGGATGGCAATGTCCACGTAGCGCAGAGGAGAGTCTGTGTTACACAGAGCAATGGTGGGCAGGTTAACATAAGACGCCTCTGTGAGAGGCTGGTGGTCAGCCCTGGGGTCAGTCACCACCAGAAGTCTTGGCTCCCGGAAGGCTGCCTGGATCTGGTTGGTGAAGGTTCCAGGGGTGAAGCGGCCGGCAATAGGAGTGGCTCCAGTGGCAGCAGCAAACTTGATTTCCCTCACTTTAAAAGGAGACCCGCCGAAACCGGTTTGGCTCAGTGGATAGAGCATCAGCCTGCGGACTGAGAGGCCCCAGGTTCGATTCCGGTCAAGGGCATGTACCTTGGTTGCGGGCACATCCCCAGTAGGGGGTGTGCAAGAGGCAGCTGATCGATGACTCTCTCTCATCAATATTTCTAACTCTCTATCCCTCTCTCTCTTCCTCTCTGTAAAAAAATCAATAAAATATATATATTTTTAAAAATAAAAAATAAAAGGAGACCCTGCCCCATTACTAGTCACCCTTCATTCCCCATCTACCCAATCCTGGCAGCCACTAATCTGTTTTCTGTCTCTGTGGATTTGCCTGTTTTGGACATTTCCTATAAATGGAATCACACAATTCCTCAGTGTCATGTTTTTTGAGGTTAACTCACATGTAGCATATGTCAGTGATAAATTCCTTTTTTGTGGCTGAATAATATTCATGGTATGCTTATCAATTCATCAATTGATGGTAATTTGGGCTGCTTTCCCCTGGAGGCTAATATAAATAATACTGCTATGAGCATTCATGTACAGGTTTTTGTTTGAATATGTATTCTTTTTAAAAATATTTTTATTGATTTGAGAGAGGAGGGATAAAGAAGAGAGAGAGAGAAAGAGAGAGAGAGAGAGAGAGAGAGAAGCATCAATGTGAGAACAAAACATCAATTGGCTGCCTCTTGCACTCCCTCTATTAAAGATCAAGCCTGCAACCCACAGCCTGGGCATGTGCCCTGACCAGAATCGAATCGGCAACCTTTTGGTGCATGGGGCAACACCCAACCAACTGAGCCACCCAGTCAGGGCAGAATTCCTGTTTTCTATTCTTCTATTCTCTCTGCCCCCCACCCCCACCCCCATTCTTTTTGGTTTATTCCTAGAACTGGAATGTCTGGGTCACATGATTCTATGTTTAACTGTTTGAGGAACCATGAGACTGTCTTAACAGTGCCTGCCCATTTTACTTTCTCCTGGTAGTGTACAAGGATTCCAACTCCTCCACAGCCTCACCAGCACTGGTTACTTTCCTTTCTGAAAATTACACTAGCAGCCGCCCTAGTGGGTGTGAAGTGGCATCTCATTGTGGTTTTGATTTGCATTTCCCAATGATTAATGATCTTTTCCTGTGCTTCTGGATTTGTCTGTCTTTTGGGGAGAAATGTGTGTTTAAGCCTTTTGCCAGAAGGGACATTTTAGGCCTCTCTGAGATCATTTCCTGAGTTCCCGGGTCCACCCTGAGGGTGTGGTCCTGCAGCTCTGAGGAGACGTCAGAGGTGGGAGGAGAGGCGATGGGTGTAAAGATCTTCCCGCGGAATCTCTTCCAGAAACAGAGATAAGAAGTGAATATGGGAGGGGGAGCTGAAAGGGGGAGACAGAGCCTCAGGGGGTGGGGGGTTGGCCTGGGAAAGGGGTGACCTCGCCCCACAATGACCTTGAATAGGTTTTCTCCCTGATAGACTGGCTGTGTTCATGGCCAGCAGGCAGACTTCCCAGGCCAAGGCCAGCCTCCCTCACACTCCCTACTTCCAGACACGGAGGGCTGTGACCGAGGCTGGCACAAGTTCCAGGGCCACTGCTACCGGTACTTTGCCCATCGTCGGGCGTGGGAGGATGCCGAGAGGGACTGTCGCCACCGAGCTGGCCACCTGACCAGCATCCACTCACCTGAGGAGCACAACTTCATTAACAGTAGGGATTGGGGGCGAGGGGGAGGGGGTGGGGGGGGTCAGGGTGGCCCTGCAGTCCTCTTTGCCAGGAAAGTCCCCAGGATCCTGAAGACACCACCTTTCTGAAACTCTTCCTTAATGCAAGCCATGGCCACTTAATAATCTCCATGTCTGTGTAGTCATTTGTTAATTCATACATTCACTTCATTCATTCATCCATCATGTATTTACCAAGCGCTTGCTCTGGGACACAGCAGTGAGCAAGATGCACATTCTCCCGTCCTCAGGGAATAGCATTCTTGTGGGCAAGTAAATATGGAATTAAATACGTCTATACTATAATGTAGCCGGGGCTAAGTATGCTGATGTCAAATAAAATGGCCAGGGGGTAGGGGGTGACAGGGAAGCATCTGTGATGTGTGGGATAAAATGAGCAAGGAGCTGTGCAGAGACCTAGGAAGAGTGTCACATTAATTAAATCCGGCATTTATGGATTCATTCATTGTCCTTTCTACCGTCTGTTCATCCACTTATTTATTCACATTTCCCCTATCCCATCCCCTACTCCTTCCTTCCTTCCTTCCTTCCTTCCTTCCTTCCTTCCTTCCTTCCTTCCTTCCTTCCTTCCTTCCTTCCTTCCTTCCCTCCTTCCCTCCTTCCCTCCTCCCCTTTTCTCCCTCCTTCCCTCCCTTTCTCCCTCCCTCCCTCCCTCCGTCTCTCCCTTCCTTCCTTTTTCTTTGCATTTAAAAGAATTCATTGGGGGAAACGTACATGGGTGGGAACTGTCCTTGGAAATATCTCAGGACACTGTCCTCCATCTCGCTGAGCAGTTGCAGTTTCCCTAGGCCCCTGCTCAGAACCATCTGACCAGTCTCATGGGGGCCTCCTCTGTGACTCCACTTTCTCCACTGCATCTCCTAATTCTTTCTTTTGTTCATTCCCTGGGTCACTGTTTCCTTTTCCTCCCTGCAATCAAATCTCCTCCTCTCCTTCCTCCAGCCTCAGTGACTGCCTGGTTCACTGAGTCTCCCCGCTGCCCTGTCTGGAGCCGCCTGTGGGCTTTCCTGTCCCTCACTCTCATTTCTGCAAAGATATGGCTGTCTCTGTTTATGCCTTACTCGGGCCATTTGTTTAAGCCACATAACAGCCTTTGCTGTGCCCCAGGCTAGAGAGCAGCCAGAGCCCCAGCCTACTGGGAAATGGGGGACCCAGCCTCCAGCCCGTGCCCATGCTGAGGGAGGGTCTGGGTCCTCCCCCACCCCTCCTGCCTTTGGCTCCTACCCCACCTCCACCCTTCCACCTCCATCCCCTTTCCTCTCCGGGCCACCTCCAGGCAAAGGAAGGGCTGGGTCTTCCCCTCCACCCCCACCCCACCTCCAGCTGGCACCCCAGGAATTGGGGAGAGGCAGGTACTCAGTCCTGACCCCCCCCCCCCACAACCCCGCAGGCTTTGGGCGTGAAAACACGTGGATTGGCCTGAATGACAGAATCGTGGAGAGGGATTTCCAGTGGACGGACAATACAGGGCTGGTGAGTGGGGGAGCCTGGGTCTCTGCTACCAGGCTGCTGACTGGGGTCCCCCCTACAACAGCGGGAGAGGGGTGAGCCCCATGCCCTTTGTTCTGGCTTCACCCTTACTAAGGTGACCAGACGTCCCGCTTTTGGCGAGACAGTCCCGATTTTTCAAAAAAATTGGGTTTATTCCACCAAAAGCAGGACGTCTGGTCACCTTACCTCTTACACAAATGAGCCATCAGAGGTCTGGAGTGACAGGTGAGCGTTAGTGAGGCCCCAAAGCGCCAGACTTCCTAGCCAGGTGGAAAGCCCATCTGCCTGGTGACTGAAGCTGGAAACCCAGGACTGGGGACAACTCCTTTGTTCCTGTTGCCTGGTCCTCCAGCCACAGGCTCTGAGATACTCCCATTTCCCTTCCTGCCCCTGCCTGCTCCATCTCCACTGGGACCCCTGCAGCAGCCACCCCCAGCCCCACCACCACACACACACTTGCCTCCTACACTCCTGCCCTTCTACCTGGTGACCAGCGGGACTATTTAAAAAAAAAAAAATGAGGTGAAATTCACATAATAAAATTAATCATTTTCAAGTGTATAATTCAGTGACATTTAGTATATTCACAACATTGTGCAACCACCATCTCTATCTGGTTCCAGAATATTTCAACACCCTGAGGGAAACCTTGCCCATGGGGCCTTTTAAAAACCATACATCAGCCCTGGCTTGTTTGGCTCATGGATAGAGTGTCGGCCTGTGGATTGAAGGGTCCGGGGTTCAATTTCAGTCAAGGGCACATGCCCTGGTGTGGGCTCGATCCCCACTGGGGAGCGTGCAGGAGGCAGCTGATCAATGATTCTCTCTCATCATTGATATTTCTATCTCTCTCTTCCTCTCCTTTCCTCTCTGAGATCAATAAAAGATATTTTTTTAAATAAAATGAAATAAAAACCATACATCAGATCAAGATTCTCCCTGCTTCAAGCCCTGTCAGACTCCCCCATGGTTCTCCATATAAAGACCCACTTCCTCATGCTATGCAAAACAGTCTGCCAGTTCCTCAAAAAGTTAGACATAGAATTCACACAGGACCCAGCAATTCCACTCCTAGGTATGTGCCCAAAACAAGTGAAAGCAGGGACTCAGACACTGGTACACACCTGTTCACAGCGGCACTCGTCATAATTGCCAGAAGGAGCAACCCAAATGTCCAATAACAGATGAATACATACACAGAACCAAAATGTGGAACATATAATGGACACAACAAATACATTCAACAAATGCAAACAGTCAATATGATGAGAAAGGAATGAAGCGCTGACGCACACTATAATGTGGATAAAATTTGAAAGCATGATGCTCAGTGAAAGAAGCCAGAGGTGGCAAGGTAGCTTCGTTGATTAAAGTGTCATTCCGATACACCGAATTTCAGGTCCAATCCCCAGTCAGGGCGCATAGAATCAACCAATGAATGCATGGATAAGTGGAGCAACAAATCGATGTCTCTCTCTCTCTCTCTCTCTCTCTCTCTCTCTCTCTCTCTCTCAAAATGAATGGGGGGGGGGGGGGGAGGGTGATCTAAGAAAGAAGCCAGACCTAGGACACATATTGTATGATTCCGTTTATATGAAATATCCAGAACGGGCAAACACATATAGACAGGAAGTGGATTTGTGGTTGCCAGGGGCTGGGGAGAGAGGTGGGCAGTGACTGCTAATGGGGATGAGTTTCTGTTTGGTGCGATGAGAAAGTTGTGGCAACGGACAGTGGTGATGGTTGTACAACTTTGTGGATCCTAATTAATGGCAATGAACTGAACACTTAAAAGTTATTAAAATGAGTCCTGGCTGGTGTTGTTCAGTGGTTAAAACATTGGTCTGCACACCTAAGGTTCAAGGGCATGTACCTGGGTTACACGTTCAATTCCTGGCAACCAATGGATGTGTCTCTCTCACATCCAGGTTTCTCTCTTTCTCTCCCCCCCTCTCACTGCTCCCTTCCACTCTCTAAAAATCAATGGAATAACATACCTGAGTCTGGCCAGTGTGGCTCAGTGGTTGAGCATTGGCCCATAAACCAGGAGGTCACAGTTTGATTCCAGGTCAGGGCACATGCCCGGATGTGGGCTCAATCCCCAATAGGGGGCGTGCAGGAGGCAGCTGATCCATGATTCTCTCATCATTGATATTTCTCTCTATCTCCCTTCCTCTCTCTGAATTCAGTAAAAACATACAAAAAATATCAAGTAAGGATTAACCAAAAAAAGGTATTAAAATGCTAAATTTTGCTACATGTATTTTGCCATAATTGAAGAAGAATCCACCTCTTCTCCTCTATCCCAAGAGCTGGCCCTGCTCACCCACTGACCACACCCAAACTCCATCAAGTATCTGCAGCCCCACTGGCCTCTGTTCCATCCCTCAAACAGGACCAGTTTAGTCCTGCCTCTGGGCCTTTGCACTAGCTGTTTCCTCAGCTTGTTCTCTGCCTGCGCCATCCTTTTCCTTGAGTCTTCGGCGCTCCTGTTGCCTCCTCAGGGAAGCCACCATGGACTTCCCAGCAGAGGCACCTTTTGTTCAACTGTTCATCTAACAGTGAGTGACCGGATTGGGAACAGACTGTGAGGGAGTAAGACAGGAGGCAGGAGTCTGAGGGAAGATGGCATGGCAGCCTCCCAGCCAGAGGAGGGATGACTCCAGTGGCACTGGCAGTCACCGCAGGGCAGGCAGAACAGTGCCCATCATAGAGACAGAAACACTGAGTTCCTAAGAGTTGGAGTGGCCTGACCAGGGAGCCCCGCAGTGGACAGGGCCAGAGTCTGAGGCAAGATGCTGGTTCCCTGAGCACCCCCTTCCTGCTCTCCATTTCTGCAGCAATATGAGAACTGGAGAGAGAACCAGCCGGACAATTTCTTCGCGGGCGGGGAGGATTGTGTGGTGATGGTGGCACATGAAAGCGGGCGCTGGAATGACGTTCCCTGCAACTACAACCTCCCCTACGTCTGTAAGAAGGGCACAGGTACACTGCCCCCCTGCCCCCCTGCCCTCCCGTGGCTCACATTCCCAGTTCATAAAGTGTGTAAATGTAAGCCAGTTCCACCCACTTTTCACTCTCCAGCGCTGTCTGAGAGTGCCCATTTTTCCCCATCCTTGACAACTTGATACGTTCTCAAATTTTTTATTTTTTTGTTCATCTAAGTGATGAAAAAAAGAGTATCTCAATGTTATTGTAGTTTGGCTCATATGTATGCACACAAGACCTTTGGTTGATCTCTCCCTTTTATCCCCACCCTCCCTCTGAGGTCCAACAGTCTGACCCATGGCTCCTTATCTCCGGGTCTGTTCTTGTTCATCAATCTATGTTGTTCACCATTTCCCCTCGATGAGTGAGAGCATGTCCTACTGGAAAATACTTATAAGAACCGAAAATGAGACAAGCAATAGTGGCTACTGAAAGGCAAACTCAGTCTGTAGTGAGTTTCTTTCTGGGCCAGCAGTACATGCATTCTTGAGACCACCTTCCTCTTATACTCCTGTTCATTTTTGCTTCCATTTCTTTGCTAATGATCATACCCTTTCTTCCTTCCATGTGCTCAAATTATTCTCACCTCCCATCTCCTTCACCCCTGGCAGGCATAAGCATTAGGGGGTGGGATGTGTCCAGGAGGTTCCTGCCTGGAAGGGCCTCCGGGTCTGGGTGGAAGAGACAGGCACAATCACTGCTAGCCCTGGAGGTCACAGCTGGGAAAAGGGCAGGACCTGGATGGGTGTGTCATTCCTAACCAGAGAGGAAACCATGCACCCCCTGTGATGGCCACTAACGGGAGTTCCTCCGTCCCCAGTGCTGTGCGGCCCGCCCCCGGCGGTGGAGAACGCTTCGCCCATCGGTGCCCGCAAGGCCAAGTACAACGTCCACGCCACCGTGCGCTACCGGTGCGACGAAGGATTCACCCAGCACCACATGTCTGTAATCCGGTGCCAGAGTAATGGCAAGTGGGACAGGCCCCAAATCGTCTGTACCAAGCGTAAGTGGCTTTCCCCCTCCCCCCCAACAACAACCCAGCACGTTTCCAGCTGTTTGTAGTCTCTGATGAGAACATCTGGTGACTATACACACTGATTGGAGTAAATGCCTGCCTGATAACACAGCCTTGCAGATAAAGACCAGCCTGCCTGGTGTTTCCTCCCTTTCCCTTCCCCCTGGGGAGGCTCGCTGCATCAGGCCGCTGCTTCTCACCACCTTTGGCTACGTCCCCTGTCTTCCTTCATTTCCCTGCAGCCAGAAGGTCCCATCGGATGCGGCGACACCATCACCACCACCGTCACCACCAACGCCACCACCACAAGTCACACAAGGAGCGCAGAAAACACAAGAAGCATCCGGCAGAGGACTGGGAGAAGGAGGAAGGGAACTTCTGCTGAAGAGCCTGGCAAACGAAAGCACAACCCCCTTCCCACACCTCCTCTGGAGCCTTCGCCTGGGAAGATCGAGCCAAGAGCAACAAGAGGGTCCAGAAGCCCCTGAGCCCCAACCCCCTCCCCAATCTTTTGTAAAAAGCTCCTCTCTCCTCTTTCTTACACACACAGGTCCTCTCGGCAGGTGTAGCCATGTGTCTGAAGGTCCAATCCTAGTCAGACTGGACTCTGGTAGAATCTCAGTGGAAGGAAGCACAATTGGCAAAGACCACTCTTTGCTGCACTGGTTTAGTCTTTTGTTGGCAAGTCTCATTGCCGGTTGTTGAAATAAGGCTTTGATGGGGATGTAAGAGTGTATGTTTGGCTTTGCGCTAAGGAATTGCTTTCCACACCAGATCCAGGCTTTGTACATTGCCGGATGTCCTACATGCAGCCTGAAGGCTTTAGTGACGGTCAGTGGTTTTGGGAGTAAAAAACGACATGGAAGCACACTGCTGGAACTTGAACCCAAGTTCCAGCAGTCTTTAGTCTTGGTGGATAAACAGTCTTGAACTCCTATGTACTGAATTTTAGGAATGTTTTTAGAGCAGCTTCCTTCCATCCCCTCAGAGTCAGGGGTCAGAACAGTTCAGGGCAATAGGTGGGCAATGCAGTGAAGGTACTGCTTATCCTCCCAGGTCTTGTCCCAGAGCTGAGATGTGATGGTTCTGCATGTGTGGTGAAACACACACACACGCACACGCACATGCACACGCACGCGCGTACACACACACACACACACACACACACACACACACACACACCACACACGCAAGAGAGGATATTTAGGGCTTGACAAGCCCAGATTTCTTCCCCCTCCATCTCTCAGGGAGACGAAGAACCTCCTTCCTGAACCAAGGAGGTGCCAAGTTTTCTAGATCAGAGCCCCTACCCATCCCTCAAACAGACATTGTTAGTGCACTGCCCTGGGTCCCACTCCTATCTCCACCCCATCCCTGTCTCCAGCCATTGCCTGGAAGACTAGAAATGCTTAAATATTAAAGTAATGACATCTACCTGCAGTCATGTTGTAGAGAGATGCAGTGTTAAAACGGAAACGCACACATTTTTCTCTCATAGATTTTTAAAAAAATATATTTTTATTGATTTCAGAGAGGAAGGAAGGAGAGATAGAAACATCCATGATGAGAGAGAATCATTGACTGGCTGTCTTCTGCACGCCCCCTATTGGAGATTGAGCTGCAACCGGATATGTGCCCTTGACTGGAATCAAACCCGGGACCCTTCAGTCCGCAGGCCAGCACTCTATCCACTGAGCCAAACTGGCTACTGCCATAGTTTTTTAGTTTTTGGGTTTGTTTTTTTTTTAAAGCTTTTTTTAAGTGGGAAAGAATGCAGCTGGCCTTTCTCCCCCAAATCTGCAACCTATGAAAGGACTTTGCAAGCTGAAGGCCGGGACCACCTCCCTGATCTCTAGGAGGAAAGATCCCCAGCTTTTCCTCCATGTTTTGTCTACTCTAAGCTCCTTCAGTCTGGTAAAAACCTGTGGATGAGTGTTAAAAACCACTCTCCAGGAAAGAAAACTAAGCAAATATATGGTTCATCTAAGGGTTGAGTAGAGAAAGGAATGTGTTGACTGAGCCTATATCCCTCCTGGGAAGTAATAATTATAGTTGACACACTTGGAATAGGTGCCATGCTAATAACTTACACTAGAATCTTCTCAACAGCCCATTGACTTAGGAACAATTACGGTCCAATTTTCCACATGACAAATCAGGCTCAGATAAGAGAAAGGCACTGGCTTCAAGCCACAGTCAAGGCAGAAGTAAGGAGTTGGCTTTACCTCTGTCTGACTCCAAACACTACTCTGCATTGAGGAAGGAATTGAGACATAATTGTGCTCCCTCACACACACACACACACTCACACACACAGGCAGATTTAGAAAAAGATTGAAAAGTGCACACTAGACCCTCATCCTTGACCATGGTCTTGAGACTTCCCTGCTTTAGACATTATCCACTGTTCCACCATGTGGTTATCACTGAGAAAACCCAGGGATATAGGTTTGCCTTCTTGCTTTGATAATTCTTGGTTTTAAAAAATAGAGTAATCATTAACACATCTTAGTCATCCATGTCACAAAAGAATTTTCCTTTGTTGGGGGCCTGGGGATGCAACTCTTTGGGAGTGTCTTTGTTTATGCTCTCTGCCTTGGCCCCCTCAGCCCCTTGCCCTGCCCCCACCCCAGCTGTGGGAGGGGACTATGGTATTTTCTAAAGTGGGTGGTTTGTCTTTTGGTCTTTCCCTTTGGGGTTTGTGTGGGCCACGTGTGTGGCATGTGTGTGTGCGTGTGAACAGGTTCCACTGGTTTTGCTGTGAGCTGCAGTGTTCTGTGGGTCTGTGGTATCTGACACTGTGGACATTAATGTATTTCTTGGACATTTTAATAAAAATTTTTAACAGTTCAACAAGCCTGTTGCATCCTGACACTTTCTTTGTTCATTCACCCAGCAGGTACTTACTGAGAAGCTATTATGACTGTGTACTGTGCTTGGTGCTGGGGAGATAGTGGTGCATAAGACAGACGTGGGACTTGGGAGGTGGTCAGGGAAGGCTTCCTAGAGGAGGCAGATAGGATCTAAAGAAGTTGTATCAACTAGATGATGAGGGAAATAAAGAAAAAGCTTCAGGCAGAGGGAAGGGCAAAGGCAAAAATCCTCTTGCAAAAGGGAACAGGGTCATTTGAGAAACAGCAAGGAGACCATAGTTATTGGACTCAAATTGATTTGTTTTCCAGCACATAGTGACTGGAGCAGAGTGACAGAGGTAGAGAGTGAAGGGAGATGAGGACAGAAAGGCAAAAGATGGACTATTCAGGGCTATATGGACTGTAGTGAGGAGTTGGGGCTTAATTCTAAAAGCTGTAGTGGCAACGAATACCATAAGCAAGTTCAAAACGCGAATGCCAAACTTAGAAACAATTTTCAAACAGAGGTAAAAGACTTCTTGCCTTAATGTATAAAGAGCTCCTACAAATCAATAGGAAGAAGAAAACCTAATAATCCAATAGCTGAATGTGCAAAGGTTATGAACAAAACATTCACAGAAAAGGAAGTACAGATGGCTCTTAAACTACAATATGTCCTAAACAAAATAATACACTTTTTGCATGAACACCAAAATAAACAAAGAAGAGCATATTTTTAAAAGAGGAAATGACATCTACTAAGAGAGGAAGCTTTGCATAGATCAATGATGGTCATATACTTAAATTGACAATGGCTTGTGATTTACTCAACCATCTGCACCTAAGGTCTAAGTGGAGGATGTTCAGCTTCACACCTAAGAGAATTGCAAGTGACGCGCACAGTGAGATTCCATTTTCACTTATCACGTTGGCAAAGGTAAAAAGCGATAGCACGATGCTGGTGAGGTTGTGTGGAAATAGCAAGTATGTCTGATGGAATGTAAATTGGCCTTACCTCTAAGAAGGGGTGGAGATCATATCAGAACGGCAAGTTTTGATCTCTTGATCAATTAACTGATAACATCCTCCTGTAGTACTTGTGTGAGATGTTGTGGGTGCTTTTACTAACAGCAAAATATGGGAAACGAAGTGTCCATCATTAGGAGACTGGCTACAAAAATTATGGTGCATCCAAACAATGCAAACTCTGCTGACCTTCAAAAAATGCTTTGGGGGCATCTTTACATGTTGATGGAAACTATCTCAAAAAGACATTATTAAGTAAAATAATAGTTACTTTTAAAGTATGCATGGTACACAAATGTTCATAACAGTGTTATCCACAATCATCAAAATGTCCACCAACTGATAAATGAATTTCTTAAATGTGGTACACACATACCATGGAATATTATTCAGCCATAAAATGAATGAAACACTGACACAACTTACTACATAGCTGAACCTCAAAAACATTATGCTAAGTGAAAGAAGCCAGACACAAAAGACATATATTGTACGATTCCGTTTATAGGAAATATAAGAATAGGCAAATCCATGGATGCAGAAAGTAGATTAGCATTTGCCAGGGCAGTGGGGGGAGGAAAGAATGGGGAGCACTTGCTTAAAGGAGGAGGGTCTTTCGGGGCAATGAAAATGTCTAAGAACTAGATGGTCATAAACATTATAAATATGCAAAATGCCACTGAATGGAGTGCTTTAAAACATTTACAATGGTGAATTTTATGTTATATAAATTTTACACTATAAGAAAGTATATGCTGCCACCAATTGTGTAAAAGTGGGGAAAGAAACATATATGTATGTTTGCTTGACTGAACATAAAACATCTCTGGAGGGACATGTAAGAAACTTTGGGACGTAAACTGGGCAGTAGAGGATGGGAGGAAGGGAGAAAGTGGGGGGGGGGGGTTCTGAATACCTGGCTTGTGGGAAAGTTCCATCCAAGTTGCCATCCCTTAGCTGTCCTCCCAATGGACCCTGGAGACATCCACTCCAACAGCAGTGATCCCAGCGGAAGGGAGGTTCCCTCTGCCCAATCATCCAGCAAAATCCCAGGGACTACTTCTCATTGGTCTGCATGGGCCCCCCACACCTCCGAGTCCATCTCTGGACCAATCAGAGCTGCCCAGGGAGATGGGCCACATCGCTCACTGGCCGAGCTGCAAGGTGGTGGAGTCAGCTCCTCCATATCTTATGAATGGAGGTAGTTACGTACTCACTGGAAACCAAGGAGCTGGAACAGTGGAAGGGAGAAAGTATGCCAGCAGGGAACAGGCAGGATAAAAGAAATCCCATGCAGGTATCTCTGTGTACATGCCCCTCACCCCAGTCCCCTGTTTGAGGATGCTAAGGCCCAAGGTAGTCTCATCAAGGAGCTGGACCCTGCATCAGAGGAACAGCTTGCGTATGGAAGCTTGGTCAAATCTGGTATAAAAGGATGAATCGTTATATCGACCATTTCGCTTCTGCAACCAAATCACATTCTTTCTCTTCTCCTTTTGTTTGTATCTCAGAAACTTCCAATGCTCCTCAGACCACACCCCCATACCCAACCCTACCTACATTCCAGGAAAATTGCCACCTCTCTGCCTTCCGGAAGCAGGAAGTCCCCATCCAGTGTCACACACTGGACATTGACAGGAACCTCTGGGTTTGTCAGAGACCCAATCAGGACAGGACTGAGAAGTGCCAGACCTATAGGGGGTAGCTCAAAGAAAAGGGGGGAGGAGAATGGGCGAAAGAAGAGGAGATTGAGGAGTGGGATGTGGTCCTGAGGAATGAGGACCTTCTGATTGGATTACCACTAAGTACCTCCCACTGGGAAACATGTTGTCCACCAAAAACTGCATTTTGAAGTAATTAGCTGCCTTTTTCTCCTATGTATATCCCCTTCTGTATGCTTTGCACTCACTGGGACCTCGAAACAGTCCTGATACAGAGGAGGAAATAGGCTCAGGGGTTTTGTCACTTGGTCACAGGTAGGATTAGAGCCCAAGCCAACTTGGTTCCCAACCCATATGGGTTTCCTCAAGATGGATGGGACAGTACAGAGGTCCCCAGTGCTATTCCAGGCGAGACCATGGCATTGGGCTTTCCCATCGCTGTGTGGCTCTCTGCACTGGGGAGTTTGGCTGGGTTCTGACTTCTTTAAGTGACAACCTCCTCTTAAGCCCTGGCTAGGTAGTTCAGTGGGTTACAGCTTCATCCCGATACATCAACATTGTAGGTTTGATCCCTGGTCAGGGCACAAACAAGAATCAATCAATGAATACACAAATAAGTGAAGTTTCTCTCTCCCTCTCTCTAAAATCAATACATTAAAAAAAAAAATCTCCCCTTAAAACCAGGAGCTCAGAATGGATTTTAAAATTTAAGAACATTCTGTCTCTCCTGGATCTCCTAGGAGGAAAATAGGGGTTGGGGGATTGAGGAAGAAAAGAAGAGCCCAATGAGAATGGGGATGGGGTCTGAGAGAGGAAAAGGGGAGCCCAGTGCTTGCACAGCTCCAAGCGCCAAGGCATGCCAGTGCCTCGGTTTGCCCATCTGTACGAGGCAATGAAAATACCTGGGTATCCCAAGGGTATGTCGTGCACAGCTGCTGTCTGGGAGATAGTTAGCATGCAATTGGGGGGGTTTACAGCAGCCCGATAAGTCCAGCCCTGTCTGGGGATGCTGCCTGGGGCTGAGCCCACCTGGTGAAGGGGCAGCCATTAAGCCCTAGGGGGTACAGTTCCTGCCCACGGTAAGTTCCTGAGAGCTGGGGAGTCAGTTGTCATGGGAATGACATTAACAGTCTCTATGGTAACAACCCAGTGGGTAGGGCCCTACCAACAAGGAAAAGCCTAGGGAGACAGGTGTTCTGTTACCTCAGACTCTGGTTAGGTCTCCATGGCAACAGTTGTTTAACTTGGAGGGTAGCAAGGAGCTGGAGGGGGGGGGGCTGGGGAAAGGGCAGCACGTTTCCATGGTGAAAGCTGGAGGACTGAATGTTGGTTAACTCTCTGGACAGTTGGGGGAAGGGTGGTCTCCATGGCTGTTGGTCAGGGTGGGGACAACTGAAGTGGAGTTGTAGGTCTCCAGGATGGAGAAAGTATGGTATCCATGGTTACAGCTAGAGGCTGGAGGCGCTATCTCCAGGGGTGTGACTGATGAGGGAAGGGTTGTGTGAGTGGCAAGAAGGGCTGGTCACCTTAGAGACAATGGGAAGTGGCATGGCTTGCCTCCGTAGCATGGATCTTATGGCCCCCGTGTCCTGGGAATGGTTTCTTTGGTGACAGCCAGGAGAAAGGAGGTCAGGTGGGGATGGACTTGCCCTTCCAGAGAGATACCTGAGGGTGGGGCAGCCAGTCATGCAAGCCAGCTGGGGCATTTCAATCTGTCTTAGCGGTAACAAAAGGTGGTCTCTCCTAAACCCGGAGAGAGGAGGCAGCGGGGTCACGTGCACCTCCAGGCCACAGTCCACGGTGACCTGGGGACTTGGTCTCTTCCTACAGAAATTTCAGGGCACTTGAGGGGGAGGGGTCAATGATAGGAGCACCCCATCAACAGGTCACCGAAGGGAAGAAGATAGGAGCCCACATGTGACTATGGGGGCGTGGCCACCTGTCAAATGTGCTGCTTCTAGTTTCTCTACAGGTGATAGGAGGATGGATGGTTCAGTTGCCAGGTGCCCGTTAAGTCTTCAGTCTCCAGGGAGATGCAGAGGGCGTGGGTCCAGCCTCCAGGTGACCACTGAGATGGTTCTGTGTTCCGGTGGCCATGGGAGGAGTGGTCTTCAGGAGACCTTGGGGTCTGCTGGCCTGCAGGGGGCATCAGGGGGTGTGCCTGGTCTGCTGGAGAAAGTCAGGGGAAGAGGAGAAATCCACTGTCCAAGAAAGGGGAGCTTGGTCAGTGTCCAGGGGACTCCAGGAGGCTTGTCTTTGGGGGTGTGGTCAGTGCTCAAAAACCACAGCAGCTTGGTCAGCCAGGAGGGCACCACAGGGGGCGTGGTCCGTGTCCAGGGGACAACAGGGAACTCTGCCAGCCCTTAAGCGCCCCCCTCTCCCCCATCCCCAGCCCTCCATGCCCTCTGGGCCTAGACGCGCAGAGGCGTCCAGGCAGCGGGGTCTCGCGCGCCTCCGGCCCAGCCGCCGCCTCCCGCCCAGCCCCAGCCCCAGCCGCCGGGTGCAGGGTCCGGCGCGCCCGGCGCGCGGTAGCAGTAGACGCCGAAGAGGCGGCGCCCGGGGTCGGGGAAGCCGAGGTTGCGCACGCCGGGCCGGAGGCCCCCGCAGCGCGCGCGCGGGTTCACGATGGGGTAGCGCGCGCTCCCGTCGGCCAGCCAGCCCGCGGTGCAGCGGTCCAGCAGCTGCAGCTTCCACGCGGCGAACAGCTGCCCCACTTTGGCCACCGCCGCCCCGCGCGCCGCGCACGCGCGCGCTGCTCCGGAGAAGGGCAGGGGCCGCAGCGGCTTCAGGAAGAACACCCGCCCTGCGGGGGGTGGAGGGGGAAGAGTGGTTTGGACCTTGCCGGGGCCTGGCCTCTTAGGGATTCAGGACGACCCCTCCCAACCGCCTGCAGCCCAGGACCCCAGCCTCAAGATGAAAGCGCATCCCCTCCAACCCCTGCGGCCCGGGGCCCCTGCCTCCGCCTGAGCAGCGTTTGCGCGACGTGGCGGCCCCGGGGAAAGGATGCCCTGGTCTGGCCTCCAGAGGGCAAAGGCGGAGGGGGGGGGGGGGGAGGAGAAGAAACTGGGGGTGAGGCGGGGTGGGAAAGGGAGGCGGAGAGGAAGGGGGTCCCGGAAGGGGCCTGGCGCGGGAGGGGAGGGCGCGTCTTCCCAGGGCGGGGCCCACGCACCGGGCAGGTTGGACGTGAAGCAGAAGGCGTCGTAGCGCTCCTCCGCGTTGTGCCGGTAGCCGTAGTTGCGCACGCCCCCGGCGGCACCTCCGCCAGCCCCGGCGCCCCCGGCCCCGTGAAGGCCGCCGCAGGGCTCCCGGGGCCGGCTCACTGGGTACTGCACCGAGCCGTCGCGCAGCCAGCCCGCGTTGCACCAGTCCAGGCCATCGCGCCAGGCCGCGTGCAGCTGCTCGGCTGATGCCAGGATGCCATCCTGTTCCCCGCAGGCGCGCTGCGCCTCCGTGAAACTCAGCTTGTAGCGGCCTCCGCGGGGGTGGTAAGGGAAGACCACGCCTGGGAAAACACAGGGGAGTCAGCTAAGCCCCCCCCCCCCCCAATCATCTCCCACCCACCTGACATCTGGGGTGCCCTGTGTCTCTTCAACCTAGATCTTCCAGTCCATCCCTCACTCTGGTCTCAGATCTGACCATGCCTTTTTCCAGCTCACACTCCTCCTGGCTCCCTTTGCCTTAAGCTTGATTCACTTAACACACCTCATCCTTAACACACTAAAGTGTGTCTATCCGCTTTCCACCGCTGGAGACATTTGCTCATGTCCTTTCCACCTGTGGAACTCCTATTCATCCTTCAAAACCCAGCTCCACAACAATCCTCCTCCATTCAGTCTTAGGTGCTTCTGACATTCTGCCAGCACTAGGACCTTCCCTCTGATCAAGCCCTGAGTCCACAAAGCTGGGAATGTCTATGCCCGGTGCTGGCTCCCCCACACTGGGAGCCCCTGAAAAGGTGGACCCTGGCAGAACTCCCTTTGATCCGCAGCATTGTCCGGGGCAGTCAGTATCCCCTTGGTTTTCCTTCCACCATCAGTCGTTATAACTCGTCAGACTTGCAGTCAACTCAGCTCACAAGTGTTCTGTCTGTTTGTGCTTGAAGGGCGGACCTTGGGGGGTTATTGAGTACCCTCAGCAGGTGCAGGAAGGAGGCAAACAAGGACCAGGGAGAAGACCCGGAGCCTGGCAGACTGGGGTGTAAGTCCTGGCTCTGCTGCTCACTATCATGTGCCCTTGGCAAGGGCCTAACCTCTTAGGTAGTTGAATCATTCTCAGGGGTTTGGGGGAAATTAAATGAGAAACTCCAGAAAGCTCTTCAACCAAGTGCCTGGCACAAGTCAATACCCAGCAAAGGAGAATTGCTGCTATTGTTGTGCTGTTATTTGCTATTGTTGGGAAGTTTGGCAAGTGAAGGCCCTAAAATCTTTCCAAGCATCTGCTAAAGTTTAGAATCTAAATGACTCAAGAAGGCAAACCAGGAGGAAGGGACTTTTTTTCAGGTAGAAACCCCACCTCCGAGCTCCGCTGTCAGCCAATCAGAGCACCCCCATCTTCTGGCCACAGCCGGGCACATGACTCAAAAGCTGAGCCCAATCAGGGACAAGTCTGGGACTTCTAGGAAATCAGTTGCTAAGCTGGGAGGATGGAATTCTGGTTTGGATTTTTCCGTTTCATCAGGGGAAACTTGCAAGAGGAAAGCCCACCCAGGGAATCAGCGCTGAGGGAGGGACTCCTGACATGGTATGAGAGCCTGGATCTTACTGTGCCAGGATCCTGCACCAGGGTTTCCCAACATCCTCTCTATTGGTATTTTGGACTTGGTCATTTTTTTTTTTTTTTTTTGCCCTTGGGGGACTGTCCTGTGCTTTGTGGCATATATCACAGTATCTCTGGCCTCTACCCACCAGATGCCACCAGCAACCCCCTGTTAGAGGTTACAGTGTCCCTTCCCTGAGTAGCAATAATCACCCTGAATCAAACCACCCCACCAACCCTCTAAATTCCTGCAGGCCAAGGTTTTGGTTTCTCTTCCCTGTTATCCCCTCCCCTCTCCTCCCTTAGAAATGCCTCTCGTCCTGCCCACAGGCTGGTCGGTTACCTTCCAGGTCCAGCTTGACCATGCCGGTGTCATCCTCCAGCTCGTTGGTGACCTCGCACTCGTAGTGCCCGTAGTCTTGCAGTGTGACATTTCGGAGAACCAAGGAGGCGTCGCCAGGACCGTCGCCCTGCAGCTCGGCCCGCCCTCGGTAGTTGCCAAACGCCCGGTGCTGGGGGCCCAGCGCCACAAAGACGTCGGTGAAGGCCAGCGGCTCCACCACTTTAGTCCACTTGAGACGGACACCTTCGTGGCTGTGCGCGGTGGCCTCGTAGTGGTAGCGGCAGGGCAGGACGATGGTGCCGCCCCGGTGGCTGACCACCTGCCCGGGCGCTGTCTGCACCACCACCGAGCCCGACTCGCCCTCTGTGGGGGACCAAGGAGGGTTCCGGTGAAGTCCTAGGGGTGGGGGAGGGGACCTGGAAAGGGGGATTCTGGAAGGCAGTGTTTCCCAAAGTGTGGTACGCATACCCCCAGGGGTACGGGAAGAGTTTAGTGGGGGTTTAGTGGGGGGCACTGGAGTTTGGTGGGGATATGCACTGCACCGTGCTTAGCTGCACCTAATTCTACGTTCTCATGAGTACGAGGGGTACTCAGCATTACGAAAATTACAGAAGGGGTACACATATGTCAAAAGTTTGGGAAACACTGCTGGAAGGGGATGTGGTTATTAAACTTGGGTGGGGGGGTAAACCCCATGGGTAGAGAGGCTCAGGGAGGGAACTGGGAGGGGGCGGATCTGGGGGGGTGGACTATGGCCTTCAGGACCGCCCAGTGCCCTCCCCTTTCCCTCCCCCATGCGCCCCGGCGACCACACTGGGCCGCCCGCCTCCGACTCACCCAGCACATGCACCACCTTCTTCCGGCCGCGCTGCGCCCCCGCGGGGGCCACGAGCAGCAAGACTCCCCAGAGCATCCAGGGACCGAGGGCCGCCCGAGCCCACACCTGGGGGCACGGGGCATTCAGTCCAGCCTCCTGGCTTCTGCCTTTGGGAGGACCGGCCCCTGGCTTCTCACGTGCCCGGGTCTCCTCCTCGTCCAGGGTCCCAGAGGAGTCCCCCGGGAAGGCCGGCAAAGCCCTCCCTCCCCATTCCCTCTCCCGGGGCTTCTTGCACAAAGCCCACCCGCCTGAACACACCTTCTCTGATTCCCCCCTTCGCCCCTGACTCCCTAAAACCTCAACTCCGAGGCTCGGAGCCCCGCTCCCTCTCTCCGGCCGGGGCCGGGGCAGCGGGAGGAGGGAGGAGCTGAGCGGCGGCAGCGGCAAGGTTATCCGTGCGCCAGGAGACTGCAGCAAAGCGGCCGGCGGTGGGGGTGAGGGATGCGGGGGAAGTTGTTGAGAAAAGGAGAAAAAGGGAGAGGGAGAGGTAGGGAGAGAGAGAGAGAAAAGGGAAAGAGACACAGAGAGAAAAGCAGGGAGAGATGAAGACAGAGAGAGCCAAAGGGAGAAAGAAGAGGAAGAAAAGTCGGAGAGAAACACGCAGAGGGAGAGGCAGAGACGGAAAAAGGAGAGGAGAGCGCGCAAGAGGGAGAGGAACACAGACAAGAGGGAGACAGGACAGCGAGAGGCAGAGAGACTCCGAGGGGGAGAGACAAGGAGGGAGAGACGGAGACGGACAGAGAAGGAGACGCAGGGAGTTTGAGAAGCAGGTGAAGAGACAGGAGGGATGGAGAAAATGGAGCGGGGGAGAGGAACACGGGGGACGCAGAGACAGAGAATCCTGGAGAGGGACCTCTTGGGACCCGCGCCGCGGCCCCACTCACCATGCTGCCCGCGAGGCCCCCGCCGCCGAGCGAACCCTGCGCTCCGAGACTGCGCTCCTGGCACCGAGAAGAAGGACCAGGCAGGTCTCCGCGGGCAGCGCAATCCCGGTGACTGCCTGCAAGGGGAGGAGGGAGGCGGGCAAGGTGCGGGGTTTGGGGGGGAGGGGAGGCTGTTAAAGGGAAAGAGGAGGCGCGCTGGAAGGAACCCCGGGCGAGGAACTCTGGAGAGTGAGCGCAGGACCAGCTCCCTGCGCTGGCCGGCTGGGCCTGCGGGGAACCTCCCTGGGGCTCAGGTTAACCATCTTTAAAACGGAGGCGAGGGGCCTGGTGGAGTCTCCCACCTCAGATTCCCTGCATCGACAAGGGGCTGAGTAAGCTGGAAAAGGAGCTTGGTCTGCAGGTCTGTTTTTCCCGGTTGTCACTGGGTGGCCATCTCGTTGCCCTGGGCTCTGGCACTGAAGAGGTGCTCACTGTACGAGGTGGGGTCCCACAACTATGACCCACTCGTGCAGCGACAGATCCACATCAGACTCTGCCCCTCACCCACTGGGGACCTTAGGAGAGAGCTTGGCCTCGCTGAACCGGTTTTCACCTCTGGGGAATGAAGTACATGACGATCCAATGGGTAGACATACAATAGATGCCTGATGAGTGTTGGTAGGTGGAAGAGGGTCTGATCGAGCCCCCGACCCCACTCTGGGCCTATCACCCCTGAATCTGGTCTTTCATCCAGGTACAATAATCAAACCCGGAAACAATGAGTGCTTCCCCAAACCCCCTGACTACCTCCCCAGGCTGTTTCCCCAAAGTCTGAGCCAACCAGGCAGGGTTTTGTGGTGGAAGTGGCCAGGGCCTGGTTCCTAGCTCAACTGTGTCCTGGAGGTATAACCCCAGACCAGGACCTTCATCTCTGGCAGGCTCAGTTTCCCCATCTGGAATATGGGGTAAGATCCAGCATATTATATAGCAAGTGAGGTTAGCCCTTGGCATGGTAAACAGTAGGTGCTTAATAACTATGCCACACTATTTTTTTGAAAATACATTTTATTGATTTTTTTATAGAGAGGAAGGGAGAGCGATAGAGAGTTAAAAACATCCCACTAGGGATGAGCCTGCAACCAAGGTACGTGCCCTTGACCAGAATCGAACCTGGGACCCTTCAGTTCACAGGCCGATGCTCTATCCACTGAGCCAAACCGGTTAGGGCCACACTGTTCATTATTTTAATTTACTAGCAGAAATAGGAATTCGGACTCTTGTCCTGACTGTGACTCCAGGCAGGTTCGGATCCTCTCTAAGTCTGTGTTCCCCATCTGGGAAGTGGAGCTGTGCACACTGACCAGAGAGAGACTCCTGCTGTCTGGCACCTTCTGTTCCTGACAGTCACACTGGCAGTGATGGTGGGCCTTGGTGGGGTCTGAAATGACAGTCCCTCACCCCTGCCCCCTGAAACACTCTGGCAGCAACCTTTTGGGCATCCAAAGGGCTTTTAGTGAAAGGCTCGCTGGGGGTAATAGGTAAATGTGGCAAGGGAGTAGAAGAATCCACAGAGGTTGGGAGCAGTGACAGCTGAGTGTGGCTGGGGCCCTTTCCGCCTGAACACCTGGCCTGTGGGTTTCCCCTCCCACCGGCTGGCCTTGAGACCATCATAGCCAGAAACAGAGACACCTGGGTGTACCTCCTGCCTCTAAACACCCAACCCATCCTTCTAGGGGCAGGGCCAGCGGGTGTGTTAAAGGAGTCCTGGGAGTCCCACAGGCCCCCTCAGTGCTGCTTCTCGTGGAGGACTTGGGAGCGGGGTGGCAGGCGCTGGAAGAAGGCTGGTCGACGCAGGCAACGGAAGGCCAGCAGGTGAGGGCCCAGTGCATACAGCATGTTGCACACGAAGAAGCTGGCCCAGGCATCCTCCGGCACACGGTAGGTGAAGGGTGTGCGCAGGTGCATGGAGGCGCCCATGTGTGAGAACTGGGCCTGAAGGCCACACAGAGAGGAGAGATGTCAGGGGCTGGGAGAGAACCAGTCCCAGCATCCACGACATTCCACCCTGGGAGCCCAGGGGTTCCTGTCCCCATCTTGCTGGCTCTGCTGACCTACCTGCTTCCTCTTTCCAGTCCATCTGTCTGTTTCTAAATATCCCTGTCCCTACGGCCCTGTCTATCCTGTATATCTGTCTGTGAGCTTCTCCCCAGCTGCCTACCAGAACCATGTTCACTGTGTCTGCTGGACCCTATACCCTATCTCTCTGTCCAGATCTTCCTCAACCCAGACAGCTGCCCTTGACACAAATTCTGTTGATTACACCATAGATGTCCGCCTGGTTCCCACTGCTCTGGCTGGGGCCCGGCCTTTATCATATCCCGTCAGGAATCCAGAAATACACCCCCAGCTCTGACGGTCCTCCACTGCTCAAACACCTCCCACTGTTCTCCATCTTTCTACACAGAAGCCCCCCCAAGGTCAGAGTTCAAAGCCCTCAGCATCTAGCTGCCAGTTTCTCCAGCCTCTGCTTTTACCCTTGTTATGGCTCTGCTATATCACTGTGCCCCTCTGTGCCTTTCCTTATGCTGTTCTCATTCCTGGAATGTCCTTCCCTGCCTGGAGCACTCATACCCACATGGTGTAGCCCAGTTCCTATGCCCCCTCCTTTAAGAAATCTGTCCCCTCTGTAATCCCTCCCAGCCTCTCCCTCTCCCTCTCTTCAGTTCTGACCCCATGGGGTTGGGGATGGTCTGTGTCTGGCTCTTTCTCCTCCAGACTAAGGAATCCTGGGGTACTGAGCTGGGGCTGGGGCCGCTCAGGGGTCCAGCATCACCCTGCCCAGGGAGATAACAAAAGAAATCGATGGGTAGGCAGAACCTTTCTTTCTTGTGCACCTGACCCCCAACACCCCACCACCACCTCACCTGGCCAATGGCTCCAGCAAACACCAAGGCCCAATCGGGTAGCCAGGAACAGCCGGGGAAGATAAGGGCATAGGCCGCCAGGCCATAGAAGGGCAACGTATAGAACATGTACACCAGCATCTGTGATGAGCAGACATGATGAGCAGATGCCCCCAATGGTCCTCCTGAGACTCCTCAGGTGAGAACCCCAGGGAGGCTCCGGCCAGCCTCAGACCTCACCCAGAATGGAGGCTCTCTGTTCATCCTACCCTGTGCAACCTGCACCTTTATTTCCTTTGGGGGTCTCCCACCCTTCCCACTGCCCCCCCCCCTGCCCCCGCCCCACCACCTTACTTCTGTCCACATGATCAGCTACAAGATGGGGATGTGATTCCAACCTAGCCAATCAGAGCCTGCCTGAGACTAGTGCTTAAGCTCTGGGGAGATGAAGGCTCACTTTCCTGTGGGGTAGCTAAGTAGGTCAGAAGGAAGCCTGGCGCTGCCCACGGCTCTTTCTGCCATTCCACAAAGGGACCGGCTGGGAGTGGAGCCCATGCAGAGAAAGTAGAGCCCAGAGACAGACCTCTCCTTGAGCTCCTGGATCCAGCCATACCTGAGACTATACCTATACTTTTTGTTTTTTTTAATAAGACAATTATTCCATTTGAGCTTCTACCAGTTGGATTTGTGTTTCTTGCACCTGCTTCAGAGAAACCCAGCGGACCCCTGCACATGGCAGGGTCATGGTCCTTTCCTCCCATTTGCCCTCTCACCTGCACCTTTGGGTAAGCCACAGGATCCCGTAGGTATGGTTCATACTGATAAATATAGACAAAGCAGGCATCCGTGGGGCAGTCAAGCACCACCTGCGGCCAACAGACAAACCAACAATCACCTCCAATAGCCCTCCCACAAAAAGCTTTCCCCACCCTCCCAGGCAGGGCTCACACCCCTCACTCTACCCTCCCCCAGCCTTGGTTCTATCCTCTGGCTGAGAAGCCACAGATCTTGGGGCTGGAGAGAAGGCTACAGGGAATGGGGCTTAGTGGGGAAACACTCAGGTCAGACGCAATGAAGAACTTCCCTGATGGTCAGATGGGAGAGCAGTGACCCTTTTGCACTGAGTAAACATATGTGGAAAGGGAAGGCCAGGGAGGGAGGCTGAAGGCAGGAGAGGCGTAGGCTAGCCAGACTCACAAGGCCCCGGAAGAGGGTGAAGAACCCAGCAAGGATGAGGTATATGACGAGAGCCAGGTCAGCCGGGCGCTGCAGGAGGCCCTTTCTTTGCTCCTCCTGCACCTGCCCCATGCGAGAGAGACAGAGACTGTGAGAATTCAGCAATCCAATAGGCACTCCGTAAAAGCTCATCCCTTCTTTCCTAATGACCAAGGAGAGCCTTCCAAGGAGGTAACGGTTTTGACCAAAAACAACTCAAATGGGGAGACTGAGGTAAGTGGGCACAGGCACGCCTGCAGGCAAGGCACTCACCGTGGTTGGGGTGTAGCAGGCTGGTGGCTGGGCCTGGTTGAAGATCCTCACACCAGCCCAGCATGGGACCAGCACATATGGGATGATGAGGAAGAAGGCTGGCCTGATCTCTGAGCTGTATTTCCCTGTCGTGGTAGAAGAGATGAGTAATAGTCAGGAAGTCCTAGGCCTGGCTGGGTCCTTTAACTGGGCCACACCAGAGCCCCTGGATGGAAGTCATAATTCACAAATGCCATACTTGCTCATCTTTTTCTTTTTTCTTTTTCTACTTGCTCAAGATTTAACACATGTGCCGAAACCGGTTTGGCCCCGTAATAGAGCACCAGCCTGCGGCTGAAGGGTCCCAAGTTCGATTCTGGTCAAGGGCATGTACCTTGGTTATGGGCACATCCCCAGTAGGGGGTGTGCAGGAGGTAGCTGATCGATGTTTCTCTCTCATCAATGTTTCTGACTCTCTATCCCTCTCGCTTCCCCTCTGTAAAAAATCAAATATATATGATTTAACACATGTGGTTCATTAGTGCCCACAAGATGATGTCCATGCTCCTCAGACTGGCCTACCTCAATTTACCTTCTGGACACAGTTCGTACACGTTAGCTTTTCTTGGCTCCCCATGGAAACACCCATCCAGG